GACTAGTATACTACAGTACTACTGTACTATAGTCCAAAAAATACGGTAGTAACTTACATGCAAACAGTACCCCATGTAATTTATCCATATACACTAATCAGACAGTTATTCAGGTGAACCTTGCTTGTACTGTGTCGGACCCCCTTTTGCATTCAAAACTGCCTTAATTGTTTCAACAAGGTTCTGAAAACCTTCTTTGGAGAATTTCATCCATATTGACATGATAGCATCACTCAGTTGCTGCAGATTTATCAGCTACATGTCCATGATGCACATCTCCCATTCAGCTCTATTAGACTGAGATCTGGCATCTATGGAGGTCAGTGATTTTATTGTAGTGTTCAAGAAACCAGTTTAAGAGGATTTTGTGTTTGTGACATTATCCAAATTCTTCGACTGAAATCACTGATTTCAATATTTTTCCGATCTCCTATTGTCCAACTTTGGCGAACCAATACAAATCGTAGTCTCAATTTTTTACTAGTAGACGACAGCAGTGAAAACTGGTGTGGTCTTCTGCTGCTGTAGCCCATCAGCTTCAAATTTCAGCCTGTTATGGAATCAGGGATAGCATTTTGGATACTTTGGTTGTAACACGTGCTCAGCCACATAATTGGCTGATCAGATATTTGCAATTGACTGAACAGCTATACCCAATATCTTGGCTGGTGAGTCTGTGTTCATAGCATAACTGTTATGTACACTATATTTGTAATTTATTTATACATTTATATTTTTATTTCACTTAGACCCTATGATATTGCTGATTTTAGTAATAAAAATAAATGTTTTAGTGAATATTGTATGTACACAAGTCAAGAGTGACAACACACACACAATAGTCATGATAAAAGATTAAGAATTCAGTGTTTTAATTGTGATAATTAAGATACAATCAAGATATGACCCAGTATGAAATCCAGGCACATGTCTTGAATGTTTTGAATGTTTATAACTAATGTAGTTTTTAGTTCAACTGTTAGGAATTCAGTTCAGTAAAGGGAAAACACTCTGGGGGTAAAGCCCAGTCTGTTAAAGTAGGAAGGCTGAGGCATTTTCTCCGAGGCATTTGCCTTTTTACCAAAGGCGATAACAAGTTCCAGCATCTCCACCACCCCCTGTGAAAGGTCACAGGCTTGTTTTTGCAACAAATCAAAAGTGTGGAATATGCTCAGTCTAGAATCCTCTGCTGACAGATAGCGTAAGCTTTAAAATATTTAAAAATAAACTAATAATTAAGTCAAAATTGATCTAAAAAGGTTGGCAAAAATAATGATGTTAAAAAAATCCCATTACATACCCATAGGTGCAAGTGTGAATGTGATTTGATGTGGATTTGAAAGTGTTTGGATTGTTTGGTATTTGCAAAACCCATATTGCTGGACACTGCAAGGTGCAAAAAAAGTCAATAAATCCAAATGTATTTAATTTTTGCACATGAATGACTGATGCCACCAATGTGCAGTTCAACAGAACATTTTTTTCATGTGCACTGAGAGGTCGCTGATATGATGCAAAAGCATCATATCAGGGACCTCTCAGTCGGAGAAATGCTTTCGTTTTTACCCATGAGTGTTATAAGAGTGCTTCCTTGAATTACAGCTATTCTTAAACAGTTCATGCAATACTTTTGTAAAATCCACTGATTTAAAAGTAAAGTCTGCACTTCAATCATCTCTTAAATGCTTGATTTTGAATCTACTGTGGTGATTAACAAAGATTTACAAAATAATCCTAATAATCATTGTGAAATCCTTTTGTAGATTAAGCAATTTTTCAACAACATTTAAATTACTGCTAAATTAAACTATCAATACAGTCATCTTCAATATCTACTGCTTAATATACTTTCTTGAATAAAACGACTTTCTGTAACGTAGCACTAAAGGACTTACTGTGAATCAGCACTGAAGCTTTTACTCGTGCAGTTTTCAGTCTGTTTGAGCTGCTTATTGCTTTGATTTGCTGCGCCATACAGTCCCAGTAGATCTCACAAAGACTGGCAAACTTTGTGTAGATAAATCAAGGTCACAACTTAGACCAGATGGTTGTGCACTACAATGTCAGTACAATACTTCTAAGTGTCAAGATATGAGGAGCTGCTCACAAGAACTGAAGTGAACTGGAAAAAAAGAAAAAACTTTTACAAGAATGACCTAAGTGTTAGGGCTCAAAATCTGTAATGGATTTATTTATTAGTGCAAAAGGAAAAAAAAATATGCTCATGTTTTTTACTAAATATATTGTTCATATATCAATTCATCAATCAGCCCTATCATAAGAGGATTCGATTATTTTCATTTTTTTAAAGCAAGACAATTACCCAAAGCTAAAATACAGAGATATTTTTCAGTAAAAACAGAAAGAATATGATTATTTTTAAATATTAATCTAAGAAAATAGATAGGAGTCATGTATAGCATGCACCAAGATGAAAACAGAAGACTTAATAGCTTGTACTAAAAAAAAGGCAATACAAACTTCTTAGTAGAAACCATTAATCCATCTCCTGCTCACAACAGCCTTGTCACTTTTTCGCCATCATACTGTAGCTTTTGTTCAGGCCAATGGGCTGAGCCTATCTAGCTGACAGCAGGAACCATCATGCTGGGCATTCTATCAAATACCAAAATAAATATATAAATATTATATTTCTATTTTCGTTTCTATTCGTTGACTCTGAGTTGAACAATTTTCTATGGAACATAACTTCACAAAACTTGGCACTTCCTGCGGAGCATGTCTGCCCCATTACAAGTCACCATTTAGCCCAGCAGGAGAGCAGAATCCCATGAATAAAATCTTTTCACACAGGAATCATGATAGAAGAATGACAAATAGAGCACTTTCTTATCCAAAGGCCCAGCGAGTGTCAATGAAAGTGATGTTGTCAAAATATGATAATGACACGGCACCAGCTGCAGCCTCTCTAAAAATAGAAAGTCCAATTCTGCAATGCAACACAAGGATTTGTATATCCCCGCATACTGATGCAGTCAGCATTTTGGCCTAAGCTGCCTTTCAATATTTTATTTATTAATTAATAATATTTCAATGAAATTATGGTGCTACCTACATCAAGAGTTCAATGCTGTGAAAGCACAGAAAAAACACCAAGAGAGAAACATGTAATGTCTAATTTCATTTCAATAACTTTAACTGTGTGGAACTCTAATTCACACACAGTACTGTGCAAAAAGTTTTGAGCCATACCTCATTTCTCTGTATTGAGCCAGACTTTGTTGTCATTTTCAAGTAGATCTACAGGCCTTCTAAACATCTTTCAGACTTTATCTAAAGACGCTGGTATTTTCAGTCCAGCATGTCCACAGCTATCTGTAAAACATGGTGGAGGCTCTATGATGGTTTGGAGCTGCATTGTATCCAGCTGTGTTTAATTCCATCTAAACTGATGGAATTATTAATGCAAGAAATGCACTTCCAGATTAACCTGGGATGTAATACTATCTGGAAAGTGTCTGTTTAGCTTTATTTTTTAGCATGACAATGATAAACGCATTGCCAATTGACTAAAATCTCACCTGGATAGAAAAAACACACAAGGTCAGTCTATGACATTCAGACATAGACTGACCTCCCCAGAGCCCTGACCTGAACATTGCTGAAGCAGTTTGGGATCATCTTGACAGATAATGGAAAGAAAAGGCAGCCAACATCCAAAGAAGAGCTTTGAATGTCCTTCAAGAAGCCTCAAGAACTATTTCTGTAGACTACTTAAAGAAATTACAAGAAAGGTTGCCTCAGAGAGTTCAGACTGTGTTGAAGAATGAAGGTGGTGATACAAAGCGTTGACTTTCAAGCTCATTAAAACTGTACAAACTTAAACTTATGCTTCATATACTGTATTTTCCTGGATGTTTGCATGTTTTAATATGCAGCTGCACCTATTTTCCATTTTCCTAGTAATGAAAAGAAATGATGACTGATTCAAGACTTGTGCAGTACTGTGGATTCAAACATTTTAGCGCTATGAATTTTGTTATATTTAAATATTCAGTGTTGGAAGTGCTCCTTAAAATAGGTCTATTATGCTTATTGCCATAGTAATCCGTAGACTCTTGTGGAAAAAAGTGTTTTGAGCACCCCTTCCTATGTCCACACTTCCTTAAAGCTAACTTTCTTCTAATTGGCTGCTCCCTGGAATCAGAAGGTTTGAACAGCAGGTGGTACTCTGCAGAGTAACCCTGCCATTAGTGAGATCCAGTAGCCAAAAGAGCCAAAAAACCTATGTGCAAGCAGTCTAAGCTTTTGTTTTACACTACACATTGGCCTATACTATACACTATATATTACTTGCATATATGCTGACCTCATTATGTGAAACTTTGGCCATGTTTAATATAAGCATCCACTACCAGGCCACTTCACATAATTCCAATTATTCCTCTTGCTTCCTGAACACATAGGTCTCACCGTGCCTAAAGCATCTTTGCTTTAAGATTAAGATTTGAGCAAAACAAAGCAATATTTGTAATATTAACATTTAATCCAGTTACTTTCTGGAATTTAAAAGGTTTACAGCTTTTGCCTACATCACCCAAAACAACACCCCAGTGTGCAGCTTTCAGCTTACTCTTTTAACTGCTTTCAAAGCACAGTTACAGTTCTCTGGTCTACACCAGGGAGCTTAAAAGATTATTCAACTCATACTATTATCTGTCCAGCTTTAAAGCAATTCGTGTCACTTTTTGGTATGCAATTAAAATATAACCCTGTGTATAGCAGCAAAAAGGAATAGCTAAAAGTGATGGTGTAAGTGAAAATTTTGATCTGCTTTACTGTGAGTGTTCATGTGATGTAACATGCTTTCTCTGCTTTTCTCCCACATCCATTAGTTCAATTCAGTCATATTATAAAACCATACGCCCAGACATGAATTTATAGCAACACATTTAATTGGTATGTTACTTTAGAAATAATAGAACAGCAGAGCAGAGGTTAAAATAAAAAAGGCTGGGGAAGTGGTTGAAAAGACTCACCGATGTACTGGTTCCACTCTGGGTCCAAATCAGCTTGATTGGCCAGGCAGCCCTTCATGACATTCAGGCAGTAATTCTTACAAGGCTTTACTCCTGGCATACTCTGACAAAAGGGGCAATACAGCATCTTTGTCACTGCTCGAATACATGCTGGAGTGCTGCTAACCTGCAAGGACACAGAATGTGACAGCGGTCATTAGTATCTAGTAGCACCTACAGAATATATGGTAATTATAAATCTATTTTATTGAAGTAACTGTGCCAGTTAAAGGATTTTAAGTAATTTATAACAAGAAAACTGTCCAGTAGAAAACCTTTGCAAAGTTTTACCATGATACTATTGTCCTATTGTCAAAAAAAGTTTCAGTTATTAATCAGCAAAGGCCCTAGAGAGAGACTGTTTTTGCTGACTGAAGACTTTTAAAGAATGTTCTTATGCAATCAGTCACTGCCGATGAACACTTCACATAGGATAATTTGGCTTGCAATTAAACCACAAGTCTTTAAATAAAGTCAAATATCTATTTCCCCACCCTATGGAATATAATTTCTATTTTAAAATGTAAGGTTATGTCACTAATGAAAAAGTAAAAATCCAAACTAATAAAGAAGACAAAAGTGGCAAAGTAGAAAAATCTGCTTTCATAGATAACCTGATAAACTGTCTCCATGTATGAAAACACATACATGCATCGATAGTAATAGGCTAACAGCTGCAGGAAACAGACAATTAAACACCTCTGAAATACATTATGTTACAGTGACTGCATGTATAGATATTGAAGATGATAAGCAGTGAAGCGAGAGATAAGATGCACCTTTGTTTGTTTCAGCTTTTCACTACAGTTTGTTTAACAGATAAACGGTGCAACTCAAAAACAGGGTTATTTTAATAAGTTAATAGGATAAATTATGACATACAACTACTGACCACTTTGTTAGGTATGTCTATTCAGTCTCTTCTTAATGCAAATATCTAATCAGCCAGTCACGTGGCAGCAAGTTTTTGGTTGTTGTTGGCAGTGTAATGGTGTGGAGGGTTCCTTAGTACAAGCTGAGAATGGTTTAAATATCATAGACTCTCTGAGTTCTGTTCTTGATCATGTTTAACCCTTCCTGACCACAGTGCACCAGTGTATCTTCTGATAGCTTCCGCCAGCAGAATAACTCACGATACCATGGAATGGCATCATGTGGTTTTTTTTCCCCAGACAAAACCACACATCCCTGCCAGATGAAGTGAATTCAGCCCTTCATTACCACAATCTCTCATGTTCCAAATGTTAATTTGATTTGATTGTAAATTACTAATCCTGAGGTGACATTCCATGTCCCTATTGCCAGTCTTGGCAGCCAGGGGTCAGTCTGCCAGGGCCTCCGCTCCTGGCTGCCACCCGGCACACAATGCACCCGACCCCTATGGCGCCTCCTGCGGGTGGTGGGCCTGCGGGAGGATGGGCCCATGTCTCCTCTTCGGGCTGTGCCCGGCCGGGCCCCATGGACTTAGTTAGTTAAGTTAGTCCATGGGGCCCGGCCACCAGACGCTCGCCCTCGGGCACCCTCCCCGGGCCTGGCTCCAGGGCGGGGCCCCGGTAACCCTATCCCAGGCAGGGTAAACTGTTCCCACGATGTTCTTTTCATAAGGGTCTTCTGAATTGCTCTTTGTCTGGTCCCTCACCCAGGACCAATTTGCCATGGGAGACCCTACCAGGGGGCAAAAGCCCCCAGACAACATAGCCCCTGGGATCCCTGGGACACACAAACCCCTCCACCACGATAAGGTAGCGATTCACGGAGGAGGGGCTCAGAGTAGAGCCGCTGCTGCTCCACATTGAAAGGAGCCAGCTGAGGTGGTTCGGGCATCTGACAAGGATGCCCCCTGGGCGCCTCCTGGGTGAGGTGTTCCAGGCATGTCCCACCGGGAGGAGGCCCCGCGGCAGACCCAGGACACACTGAAGAGATTATATCTCTCGGCTGGCCTGGCAACGCCTTGGTGTTCCCCCGGATAAGCTGGAGGAGGTGGCTGGGGAGAGGGAGGTCTGGGCCTCTTTGCTTAGGCTGCTGCCCCCGCGACCCGGCCTCGGATAAAGCGCAGGAAGATGGATGGATGGATTACTAATCCTTCCAGATGCCCATTGGAACCTGCAGAAGTACCCTCTAGGGTACAAGAACCCCTGGTTGATAATTAACCTTTAGGCTACTTTGATGAACAGCGAGAAGTTAGCTACAATGAAAAATGCTCTCATTCACAAGAAGTAATACTCACAATAAAAAAACTACAGAAGACAGCTGACCATCAGCTGGATCATCAGCTGCTATATTCTATTCAAGTCATTTATCAGACTGTGGGAGTGCCAAAGTGCAAAATGTCATTAGTGTGTTTTTTGAAATTATAGTGAGGAAATAGATCTGATAGCAAATACAAACTCCACTATGCAATCTGCTAAAAAACATTTGATGACATTATTTCTAATATGGAGCATTCATTATTCCTACTCTCAGTATGCAGTTACTTGCACTCTGAAGACCTGTTAAGATGTTTAAAATTAAATGAGCTATTTTCATGAACTAACAAGACTCTTAAATCTTAAACACCTTTTAGTCTGGAAAAAGTGCCTTTTTACACTACACTCTAACACTTATTATTGTCTCACTGCATTAAAAATATAAGAAAAGCAGCTATAATGCAGCATCACAGCTGTTTTTGTTTTAAAGAAGCGATGCACAAAAACGTCTTCACCAAAATTAGCTGTTGTTTGTGTAAAATGAGTGCACTTATTGTAAATTGATTTGGACAAAAGCCTGCGCTAAGAACATGAAAGGATTGGGAAGTGAAGGCGTTCATACCACAATAGTACCTTATGTTTTATTTGACAACATAAGCAACATGCCAGCGACAAACGGAGAATTTAGAACTACTGTACTAAAAAGTCCACGGCAAATGATTTCAAGCAAAAAGTAAGGCTTCTGAGGAACTGGCAGATCAGAGGTGTAAGCAAGACCCTGACAAAAAATATCTTAAAAATTAAGGTTTACCCATTCATTTTCTTTTTCATATATATATTTTTTATTATTCACTTCTTTTTGTGAAGACAGCTAAGTGCAGTGAATCAAAAATTGGTATTTGTGGTCAGCTCTCCTGCAATTTTGCCATTTTGCCTTTGAACTTACACTCAAGCCAAGTAAGTACAAGTCAAGCCTGGACTAGACAAAAAACATGGCTGACCTTTTCAAATTCTACAAATTAGAGAAGCTCTCAGTGATATGTCTTAACAACTGATGTGCTTCAAAGCCCTGCTTCTTTCATACCCCCTTCTTTCACAGTGCAGTGCTAAGAATCACCAAGAGAGGAAGGCACGTAAGAAAAACACATTATACATAGACATACTTGCCCTCACTAGCAGACAACCCCCACACATCAACTCGCAGACAACTGGCGTCAAATACAAAACTTGACACTGAATATTCTAAAAATGCTTCTGCCAGCATCTGTATCACCTGACACAGGTGTAAGGCAGCAGCTCAGGGCAGTCAACAAAAGTTTCTTGTAGATCACAAGGCCGTGAGGAGAAATTATCACTGTTAGTACTGTTTGAATTAGCAGTATTTATGGGTGCTCACTTAGCCATTTCATTGAAAAAAACATTTAAAAGTAAAATTTTTCACAATTTCAGAAAAATACAGTGGTGCCTCATCGTTCCACAAATTTAGATTTGGAGCAATTAAGAGAAAGGTGCATTTCCTCTTTCTCTATAACCATTAAACAATTCATGCAGAAAACACATCAATATTGCTTTGAATGACAATCAAAATATTGTTGTTAATCAAATAATACATATTCAGTATGCACCCATCCTTACACTTTGCTGTGTATAAGAGTTCCAACATGACTCCCTTTAACAATAACTAAAATATTGTGACTTAAAATAAAAACACAGAGATCATTTTATTTTTTATTTTTTTGTTTTTTTCCAGAACAAAAGAGCAAATTGTTTCTATAGAGTTTATTACTACAGAGACTGTTTTCCTTTTAGTTACCTGCATGACATTTCAGATATTCTAAAAACTGTCAACTAGGAAAATGATTATTAAATTGTATTCACTACAAATAGCACAAGTCTGAGCTGTGCTGATGAGATCTAGACACAAGTTTGCGCTTCCTCAAAGCTGTGAAAAGCAATAAAATGCTACATCACCTACTTTAATTCAATATATTGTATATCCCAGGAGCAATAAGCATGGATGTCACATCTTAGCAGCGCTGAGAAACAGACACCTCTGGCAGGGTGTCTGTTTTTATTATGCTTACACCCAATCTCTCGTGATGACTTTATACCCTGAGGATCAAAGGGCTGCAGTCCCAGACAGATGACCTGGATCTCAGGTCCCACTGAAATGTCAAGAGGTGAAGCTAGGACACGCTGGGCTCTAAGGACTGCAGGGTACAACTCTAAATGCATACTAACAACACATCTTCTGTGGCTAAATGCTCCTCACTGCCACTACTGTTAGGGAGGGTGGGACCTCAGGAGAAAGGAAGGGAATGTGGTTAATGCTCAAGTATGGTGGGATTTAACAGACCAAATGAATGGTGGATTCATAAGAGTACAGCAGTGTCTTCTCCATTTGCCCTCTGTTTCTCATTATTCAAGGCTCTTATATTTTCATTAGCTTTTAGTTATATAGCCTACTGGGAAGTGGCTCTATAAATATTCATAATAGACAGGATAATCAAATCTAGCTGATAGACTGTATTGAAAAAACAAAAAGCAAAGAAGCCAAAGAGGATGGCTATGGATCCGTAATGTTGTGAATCAGTGCTTCTCTGAACCCAAATGACAGTGTAGAAACAACATTGTTGTTAAGCGTGACTAAATCCAAGGCTTAGCCTTTTGCTTTCCCTTTAATCTCACTTTGTACATGATCAGCCCTACATACGCTCCCAGGGCAGTATGGTATTGCAGGAACTGCATACAGATTGCTTTGCATCAAACTGAATACACAGGCAACAGTGTGATTAATGACTTCTATATACTGGATGAACAAATATAAGGCAAGAGAGCAATAAACAGAGATAGCAGACATTTCTTTTCTCGCCTTTTTTGTTGTCTGGGAATTTCTCCTGAGCAATCCACATACCCTTCAACACTGTTTTCTAGACAGCTCCATGAACGAGCCACCTTGAGGACGAAATTTTCTGAAGAAATACCCTGAGAGAATCCGAATTACTCTGAAAGTATATCTGGGATAAACTTGATCATGTGAAAACTAGGGCAAATGTGTGCTTTTTAAAGAATTTAAAGGGTTAAGAACATTTACCTTAGACACTCTCTGGGCTACCTCCCGGCCAACGGAGAGCCCCTGGACAAATGTGCGTGCAGCGATGAATGCACGGGTAACCTGAGCCTTGAGCTTCCTGGGCACGTCTCCAAAGGGCTTCAGCTGGTCGGTGTACTTACTGATACACTCCAGATAGTCCTCAGTGATGACATACTGGGAATTGAGCAGTGTGAACATACGCTCCAGCAGCCGTGACCAAAAGTCATTAAGCATTTCCTCTAGGTTAACATTCCCTCCAGTGTAATAGCGCTTCAGTTCAGCAAACAGGTTCTCAAAGACGTCTGCATTCTGCATGTAAGGCTTGCCGTAAGTCCTCATAAACATGTCATGCAGGGACCTCTCCGTGTTCTCCAGCAGCTCCAGGAAAAATTCTGGATTAGAAGAAAACAGAAAAAGCCTTTATTACTGTCCAGTTTTATTTTATGTGTGACGGTGGTCTCAGTTTATTCTGTACGGTGGTGTCAGTTTATTCTGTACATGTCATACATAGACATGGTTTGACAAGATGCACAGGGAACCTTCACTGCATTTACAATTAAACAGAAACACAGCAAAATGACATTAAATGTGTCTGATTGCAATCTAGAACACTGCTTAAAAAGGAAGCCTGCTTGATTGCAATGCAAATATGACAACAGCCAGAAAACACTAAAATAAAACAAACAAAGAAATCAATTATAGGGTTTGATGCCGTTTTCATTTTGAACTGAGATCACAGCTCTGTTGACTTTTATTTGCAGTAAACTAGTTTTTTGATAACAAAAGGAAGTTCCCCTATATATTTCTGGAAAATAATAAACTCTGTATTTGCTTTATTGTCCATATCACTCATGTAAACCCAAAACACCTTCCTGTACTGTTCATTGACAGAAAGAATCTACAGTTCAGATAAAACACTTTGCATATATGAATATTTCTCTATATGGTGAAAAGCATACCATTGTGAAATGCAATAAATTTTCCATCATCGTGATTATGACAGCACAATGCAGTTCAACTGCAGCATTTGCAGGAGTCTGCACTCTCCTTTTTAGACTTCACTTGTTGTTTGTCTCATGACCTCTGTGACATGCCAGAAAGTGGGATTAGATGATATTTCTGACCATCTGCTACCAATAACAATAAAATTGGCATAGAAGGGCCAGAATGAAAATTTAAATAACCTGTGCATTTAACTGCAAAGAGAGTCAAAAGAGGATTCAGTACAGACTCCAATTCAATAAAACTGAAAGCTGTTTATATTCCTAAGTGGGCTTTATGGGTACAACCCAAAGCTTTAAAGAAGCGTGAACTCTTAAGTGTATCAACTAATATATTTTGCTCCTTGGAGGCAGCAGAAAGAGCTGTATGACAATATTACCATATTATCACCAAGTTATAACATGGCAAAATGTGAGCAACGAGTCTTGCACTTGGATTTCTTTGGAGCCATGTGCCAGACAAAATGCATAACTCTTCTGGTGGGCTGTATACTGTCTTATATGGTACTTTTGTGATTTGTCAGTGAAAGTAGCAGCTGCATCCTGCATCTGGAGTAGGGTTGATGAGAGGACACAGACTGAATCAAAATGTAAAATAAAAAGAGACAAAAAAAAAAACAAGATTGTGTGGCTGGAAGAATCCCCCCCCTACACACACACACACCTTTCATTTTACACATTTATCAGTTAATTTATTGATCATATAAAAATACTGATTAAAAGTACTTTTAGATCTTAGATTTTAGATGGTAGGAAGCGAGGTGTGGACAAAGCCAGCGGCAAAACTACACGTTTGGGATACTTCAGGATAAAGAAAGAAAAGAATGTTGTCCTAATATCGTCACACCAGCTACTGATTCCAAGAAATTTTACTATTTGTGTTTTATTTTAAACAGTATTGTGGACTATTATGATCATGTAGACTGGTGATCTGTATGTTCTCGAGCTATTCATAAAAGCTAAGTTACACCTCTCCCCCCAAGCCATGCACATTTGAGTCACTTATCACAATGGCCCAGACAAAAGCGTAATGGATTTGAAGTGGTCATTAGCTCCCAGCAATGCAGGTAAAATTACAGATTACAGCAGCAGAGAAACCAAATGACCCGACTCTCCATAATGCCACACCAAGTCACATCTGATTAGTTACATCAAGAGGTACCCGAGATGCACACTGACAGAAAGTAAAATATGGAAAACACGCATCATTTGCAGGGTTTTTAGAAAATAAAATGTTATTTTATGATATTATTTCATCGTTTAAAGACTAATGTATGGTGGCTTAAAAAGGCAGGGTTTTGGTGTGTATCATTTGAACTTGAAGAGCAGAGGTTTTTTTTTTTTATCTTACATTAATGTATTCACAAAACAAAACTGGCTTTCATTTAGTGCATGCTCACAAAATACTTGCTTTCCCTATTCTCATCAGATTTAATTATTGTTCATTCGCACATCTTATGAGGCACCAGTGAGTATTAACTGTCATACTCCCCCTGGAATCTGACCAAATTAGCTTACTTTCACACACGTTTGGTGCCTAAAGATATATATATAAGATCG